ACACGTTTCTCAGTTAACGTCGCATTTCTCGACACGTGCTCGAAACGGTTCCCAATAAATCTTTTATTGTCGTGTCGTTTCTAAATTTAGGCCCGTTATAGCAATTTAGGCCCATTATAGTGCTAATTAAGGCCCATTTTCAGAAGCCTAGCTTGAAAATGTTATCTCTTTAATCTGAAATTACAGAGAGATCACGATCGCCGGCGATTCGAAGAAGCAGATAGAAAAATGGCGGAGATGAAGTGTGTCGGAGTAGTTGGTGCTGGACAGATGGGTTCAGGAATCGCACAACTCGCCGCCACGAGTGGCCTCGATGTTTGGCTCATGGACGCTGATCGAGATGCGCTCTCTCGAGCCACCGCAGCTATCTCCTCCTCCGTCAAACGTTTCGTCTCCAAAGGTCTAATCTCCAAGGCAAGATTTTTCTTTCAATTTACTGGGTATTTATTTCTCCGTCGAATCATCTAATTGAGAGATCACCGTTTAAGCAAATTTCAACTGAGCAAAGAATAATCGAATCTTCTGGCGATTCATTAACACGAGAGTGATTTGTATGTTGCAGGAAATTGGTGATGATGCTATGCATCGTCTACGTGTAACATTGAATCTTGAAGATTTGTCTTCTGCTGATATCATTGTTGAAGCCATTGTGGAATCAGAAGACATTAAGAAGAAACTGTTCAAGGATTTAGATGGTATAGCCAAGAGTTGTGCGATTTTAGCTTCTAACACAAGTTCTATCTCCATTACTCGTCTTGCATCTGCAACGAAAAGACCAAGCCAGGTTCAAGACTCTTTTACTTCCTCTGCTCGAATCGATTATCTCTCTGTTCATGAGTTTCGGGTCTGAATAGTGAATATTTCGAACCTTATTAATTGTTTCTTCTTCGTCTCTAGGTCATTGGAATGCACTTTATGAACCCTCCTCCAATAATGAAACTGGTTGAGATCATTCGTGGTGCAGATACCTCAGAAGAGACGTTTATTGCTACGAAAGCTCTGGCTGAAAGGTTTGATCTTTTCTTGAAATAAAGTTTACATGTATGTGATATTCTCAACATAGTATCAAATATTGGAATGAAGTCGATCCATTATCTATCAAAACTGTCACCTTTGGATCAGAATCTTGAATGCATAATACAAATCTCTTTTTAAGTCGAGAACAATTTGATTTAGAGGAAATCCTTAGAAAAGCCTTCTTGGGTTTGATTGCGCAGTTTAACTGACTAAATCGCTGATTTAATTACTCTAATGCAGATTTAAATTTAACTGTATATTCCTGAAACCTTCAGGTTTGGCAAGACAACAGTCTGTTCACAAGACTATGCGGGCTTCGTTGTGAA